CTCGCTTCTAAGGAAGCACGCACAGTTAATTGAGGCTCTTAGATCATTACAATTTATACGTGGCATTTAATGTTAATTGGTTATTTTTGTATTCTTTAAACCGCACATCCAGCAAAGCCTTCTCTCTCCCCTTCTAAACTGCCACGTGCTCCTTTAGTTCTTTATACCAACAATGTTTTTCTCCCACTAAGTGCTCACAAGTGTGCACATTATAGTTTCATTAAAGTATAATCATGTTGATCCACAAGCTTTTTGAAATTCAAAAAGAAGAAAAGGGAAAAACAACATTATAGTCGTTGTGCTTTGTAAAGCACAGAGCTGTGCCCATCAGCCTTCGGCGTGCTGATGTAAATCTCCAGCGAAGTGAACTAAAGCTCAGCATCACTCTGCCTGGAAGTAAAATCATCAAACTTTTAATGACTTGTGCAATTACTCCCAGTAACATGCCTAATGACATAGGGAGGATTAGAAATGAGTTTTTATACCCATTATTCTTCAAAAAAGCTGTGTGAAATGTAAGTACATGCCATACTGTACCTTCAATCGCACTGAAAATAATTCTTTACTACAAAACCAATCCAGCACGTAACATGAGAGAGTACATGGACTGATGGATGGGTAGATTAGACCACTCACAAAAATGTAAGGACTTATTAGAAAAGTAAACAAATACTGGATGAACAAGTTACTCGAAACGATAGAAATTCCTAGAAAAAATATACCAGCGATTAGAATTTCAAGCCTAGTGGTACCTTTACTCCAGATCTAGATCAACCGCATTTCATGCTTATTATGTACTTTACCTACTTTACTGTATATACAATATCTTCTGCTGGGAGAGAAAGTCTTTTCTGAGGCAATTCTTCTGTCTGCTGCCATTCTCACATCCATTGCAACACAAGTTTGCAATTAGCATGTCAGGTTTCTCAGTGAGGTTCACCAGCTCCAGCAGGCTCAGATCTTCATGATGACAGAGACTTTCCACACTCTCGACACAAGGCTCAAAGCTGGTAAGGTTTTGAGCACCTTACATTCATTCATTTTAATTTTGCATGACAGATCCTCTTTTTGTTTCAAATTCTTCCCAGGAGCTACACAGCTCAACGGGGCTCTCCATCTCAGGATGAGAGAGGAATTTGTCTCACCATGTCTCTTAAAGTTTTATTCAAAGTATTTGTTTTAATTAAATAACAGTTTGGGGACAGGAACAGTAACCATTGTCACGATGAAGGGTTTTGCTGGTGTGCCACAAAAAATGACAATCTCACATCTCTTAATGAGGGACAGAAATGCATCAACCAATTTAGCCTGACAAAGCTTTGTAACCCAAGCTACTTCTCACCATACAGAAATACAAAGTTCATTAAATTGTCTATGTACGCATGAGAAAGCTTACCATGACAATCGGCTAAGTATCTTGGCTCATTCCTCAACTTATCACGCATTGACATTGCCTAGCTATAGTTTCCCAGTTTGTTTCATGTGCTACCAAGCCTTATGACACATTACCCTGGTTCTGCATACTCCTGTAATGAAACTACACCACTGTATGCTTCAAGGGTTGTCTTGACTTTCACATCTCAAACATTTTTGCTGCCACATGTTCTAAACTAATGAGAGACTCAAGAAGACTGTTGCCTTCCATCTTTTGGTAAGAAAAAAAAACGGTAAAACAGCCTTTCCACACCTATAGAAGACCGTTTTCGCCAGGGAGTAAAAAAAAAAACGCGCTATTGTATCTCAGAATTGCGACTTGAAAACTCAGTATTACGACTTCATATCTTAGAATTGCGACTTAAAAACTCAGAATTACTTTATATCTCACAATTGCGACTTCAAAATAGCCCACATTTCATTGTCTGTCCTTTTGTTATTGTAATGAATTCGGGTTCTAGGGTTTGTGCCCCTCGCCACTCCCACCCTAGTTTGTGCCTCACAGCATTGGCTTGAACCCAGGTTCGAGATATAAAGTCGGAATTCTGAGATATAAAGTCGCAATTGTGAGATACCATATCGCGTTTTTTTTTACTCCCTGTCGGAAACGGGCTTCCATACACACCTCACCCTGTTATCCCCCTCCTCAACCACACTTGAAACTAATCAATTTGTTTTGATAGAAGCCGTATTTACTGGCCTCCACTCATACTTCATTCTCTCCTATAAATCCAGAAAGGTCAACGGTCTCTTCAAAGCAATTCCAGTAATGATACAAGAAGGATGATGTACCAATGCAGCATGCTGTAATGCCACAGTATTTAATTAGCCCACTTAAAGCATTCTTTCATTTAATGTCATGAATATAAATTGCCTGCAGCTCAGCCACATAGATAAAGATTCTAATTGTCACTACAATGGGGACTTGTAGGCTAATTATTATTCCCTCAGGTTAGGAGCGTACCCCAGAGAGATCACAACACGAAGTTCACGATACTGCAGAGAGCGAACTCGAGATTATAGCCCAGGCTTCACTGCAGCTCCACAGAGAGAAAGGGGGTTTGGAACAAACAATATATAGGCCATGACGACTGCCATTATGCTGAAAATACTGTTCTATTTTTGAATATTACAAAAAAAAAACAAATAAATCCTAATTCATGGCAGTGTTTACTCTTGCAATTCTAGAAAGAGAAAAATGACTTTATAAAAATGACTTATAAAATGTGCTAGAAAATGACAAAAAAAAGAGCTTGTTTTATTTTAAAGCAACGGAGAAACCTAGATCACAGATCTACAATAATCTAGCCTCCATTCAACAAGAACATTCTTGTACTGTACGCATGGTTTAAACTTAAAAACAAATCCTTTGTTTCAGAATGTGTCAGCAGACTGAAGTTTTTTTTTTTCTGAAATGTCTGGAAACAAATTATTTTGCCCTCTTTTTTTGTTCTGAAACAGCTGAAGAAGGATTTTTGTCCTAATCAGACTTTGGAGCGTCATGAAATAGCCGTGACTAATATTCACATATCCCATAATACACAGTCAGAGACTTGTAAATGTTATTATAAGTGGAGCATTACAGTACATGCATCTTGTAATTTAACTGTTTAACACTTCAGGGACACACCTGGGCAACAGGGCGGTCACTTCTGCAAACCGCAAGCTGCCTCCTCTCTACTGATGTCAGTGGAAGGTTGCTGCTGTGTTCCTGGCATACGACCACCCCTCTCCCTCCTTTCTTAATTTTGGATCACACCCAAAAGCCTGGTGTTATACTGATAATTAGACCATCGCGTAGATTTTGTTTCTCACTCGAGCAAATTGCTACCCACTCAGTAACTGTTTGAAGAAAGGAGGCAGGGGGGAGAGAAGTGGGCATGGGGGGACATTAGTGTTAATGTCATCGCTTTCACAGAAGTGAATAAAACTTAAATTATCCTTCCAAATGCAGAATAACAGGGCTGTTTAAACCCGCAGAGAAGTGCAAATGATATTTTCAGAAGGTGAGACTCTCTGGCAATGTGTGGCAGCTCAGGTCCCTGGGAACCTGATATTGTAAACTGCAATTCAATTCCTTTGAGATATCTGTTTCTCATGACATTTCGGATATTTGCTTTTCTCTCTATATACTGCATTTTTGAGAATACCATTCTTACAACCTTACAATCTCACCTCTGTAATTCACTCAATAAACATAAAGAGATCTATTATTTTGATTAGTTTGCTAAGTTTGTACCAGAACTAGGAAGGCTTGGGTTTTGCAACATAAAAATGACAAAAAATCAACAAGGGCTGACTAAAATGTGTTAAGCATGTCTGAATGTATACGTATGTACTGCAAGGAGACTGAGCAAGCACCAGATCTCTCTGTCTTTTAGTCCTGACCTTGTAATCAGAGGGTACGCATCAGTGCTTGTTTCAGATAATTATTACCAACAAGATGGAACCAAAGGGAGCCTGCTCCCCAAAAAGCAGCAGATAATCCTAACAGTGATAAAACTTCTGTGGCTACCATAAATCCTGCGCTCTCAACTAGAACAGGCTTGGAAATACCATGGGAGAATTTGGGGGAACGGCCACCAAATGGTCAATACACTGTATACCGAGAGGCATTAAAAAATGCAACAAATGCCATGGGTTCTGATAGTAATGTCTCTCCATGTATCATAAACATTGCTATAAACTATTGTTACAAAAGTACTTTTCCTTGCTCAACATTTTTGCTTTCCTCCACGGACAACAACTCCCGCTATAGATAGCTAAGAAGGACTGGGACACCAATAGGTGGCGTCTACACATCCTACAGGGGGTACTTCTCCTTGGAACAGCAAACGGACAGGTTTGGAATTAGTTTCAATTCCGATTTGTAATCGCATCCCTTCAAACACGAAAGATCTCGATTGCCATAGCAACGTGGCACAAATTCAAAGAGTTGGAATGGCAGGCTCAGTCCTTCTCCGCACGCAGAAGAAAATTAGAATAATAAATTGCCAAGCTGGCAAGAGTACCCCTGATGTTACCCTTCTTGCTGAGTGAGGTCTTCAATTGAGTTTTGGTAATTGAAAGCAAATTTCCAAAACAGTGATCTTTTATTTCCCTCTGTGGAGATCCTGTTATCATCAAGTCTGCTCCTGACCGGACACTGTAAGACCTCTTGGGGAAACAGAGCAGGACTCTAAGGCTTCTTACCCAAGAGCACACTATGTACTCCTCTGTACGGTGTACAGTTTACAGTTAACACTACATTTGCCACTGCGCCACTCTTTTTAGAACCCGAAAAGAACGGTTTCAGGTCTGCCAGCCGCCAGAGAAATGGAAAGGTAACATTTACTCCGTTGTTATGAACAATACGAACACAATTTTAAATACCCCAACAGCAAAACTGAAACAGACGGGGTTTTTCCTTTCCTCTCCCACCAGTTCGCAGTCTCTGCCCGCAGACGTTTGCTCAGGAGCCTGCCCTTTCAGAGGGTGTGCGCCGGTGCAGGTGGCGAGAGTTTTGCCGAGGTGGGGCAGGGGGTGGCGGGGACGCCCATCTCCATGGGCGAGAAGGTGGCACCCACCTGTCTGTTCCGCTCATCCATGATCCGCGTGATCTGTATCTTCTTCCTCCCCATTTTCTTTGCCCTCTCGTCTCTCTGACACTCCAGTATAGTAGAAAAAAACACCCAAGCTTGTCTTCCTTCACTCCTCTAGCACATTGTACACAGTCTCTCTGCCGTCCCAGTCTGCCACACCAAAACCTGCAGAGAGAAGAAAGCACACACTTAGCATTGTTATTGATGCATATGAAAAGCTTGTGAGCTTTTTTAGTTTTCCATTCCGGTACACATACAGTGAGGATACGAATTTGAAAAACATGATGCTTTTTTATCTTCCCACCTGCAGCCCAGCAGTAGCTGGCAATGAGCGAAGGAGGAAAATAAAATTTCAAGAAGATGGCAGCTCAGTTTGAGACTTTGCTTGTTTTTTTTTTTAAACTAACTTCTCTTACAATCGTATCAGCCAAAAGTGAATTCTAATTCTCATGCCTCTGTATATCTTCAGGATGGAAGTGTTTTTTGTCTTGTTTCTCTCTTTAAAGATCAAACTTCAATCCTGAAAAATCTCCTCCAGTGCCAAAAAAGCAGAGACAGCATGCAGTACCTGAAAGGTTTTATTCAGGGCTGAAGCTCTAAAAACAGCTGGTTGTTAATACACAGCTTCTGACTTTCTGCTACAGGACACACCTTTCTACTGGCAATAAGTGGATGCTGGATGTTCATGGAAAAAAGCTGCAGAGGAATATTGACAGCAGCACTACTATCTTGTTTCCGATCCAGCGAGATCTCAGGCGCTAAGTATGGCTAGAACAGGTCGGTACTGGGATGTGAGACCTCTAAGGAAAACCAGGTTGCTACTGTACTGTAAATGGTGTTGGTGGAAGAGTCGGTGGAGCTTTTCTCTCCAGAATCTCCAAACAAATGCCCCAGTCAACACAGGTGACCGGGGTCACTGTGCTATATGAGATGCAGTCCTTGGAATGAGATGTTTAATGGAGGTCCTAACTACTTGACCATTAAAGATCCCAGAAATGCTCATAAGAGTAGGATTGCTAACCCCTGTGTCACCAGCTAAATTCCACTCTGGGCTTGTTCAATTTAGCCTCCCTGAGGTTCCACCTTAATTCTATCACCCTTAACTGGAGAAGCTATTCCTCGCTCTGAGTCTACTGCTGTGTAATAGGACTTCTGGTGAAGAGTGGCTGCTGCCCATCACATTTTAAGATCCTTTGAGGTTGAAGGGCACTATATAAATGCAAGCAATTATCATTATGAATTCAGATCATTCGTAAAATGCAAAAATATCAGTCACCTTACTGTATTATCACAGTATGGCATGTTTCATTCAATCATGCTTAATATCTGGCAGAACACACATAACAAATGCAAGGTAAATTAAAAATATAACACAGAAGAAGTGTTATTTGAAGTTAAGCACAGGGGGTTCTGTCTCTTGTGAGATGGTACCTGGGTGAGTGTGAAGTTATGGCACTGAGAGCCCATCTCTGTGACCTCTGGACTTCAGGCTGGTAGGCCTGGCATTCTGAGGCCCCACTGAGTACCACTCCACATCTAACCCCGCTTGTGGTTTAATGCTTAGCGACAGGGTGAGCCAATTAGGCACAGACTGCATTCAGCCATCTACTCTCTCTCTTGCTGCTGAGAGGGAGCAGGTCACTGGAGTCAGACCCTCACAGAGGAGGCCTCTGAAGAAATGCCCTTTAATTGAAGGAGCGGTGTCTCTTAACACTAAACATGCTCAAACTTGGTAAAACTGCGAAATCACTGTGGGGTCCTACTCAAACAGCGCTGCTGTTGGAATGAAACACTACCACACTGAATCCGCAGCTTTCTCAAGCTGTGCTTTTGACTGAACCCAACAGAGCTCTGGCCATGAAGACCACAGCCACCTCCCCACTCCTTCATGACCTGACAGGGGCTGTTAAAGTGACTGTCAAGGGAAAAGAAAAGCTTGCCAGAATGCGACAGATGAGTTTAAATAAGTACAGCACGGAGAAATGAGAGTGCTCATGATGCATATATTCAACTGCTCAGCCCCCGAGGACACAAGGGACACTGCAGCAAAGGGCATGAAGTACACACCTCACACTGCAAGTCTGCAAAGTCTGACTTGTAAAACTGAAGTAATTTCCCCTCCCCTTCCTTCAGAAAAAAGGCTTTCATGCAAATACAATTATTGAGAGAGGAAGAACTTTAGCCAGCATAATGTACAGAAATTGTAGCAAAAACCCAGGGGTTTCCCATATCTGTGGGCTGAATAAAGTCACATTGTAAACAATAATAATAATTATTATTATTAATTACCTGACGACTTTATCCATAGATACCTGCACTGTTATACGGTTGATTCTTTCATTACTGAACATTTTAAATTCAATGTTAACAGCATGTCAAACAATGACACAGTTCAACAGAAGTAATGTAATCTAGCTAGAACACGGGACAAACCTTAAAAAATACTTTCATAAATTACACCAAAAAAAAGGTTTAAGAGTGCTCATTTCATAAAAAGGTTGGAAATTATAACAGGTGGTGGTAGATACTGCTGTGGCGTTACAGAAACATCTAAGAGTTAAAAGTGTAAATTTAAAAAAAGACTGAAAGGGCACACAGGTGGGAACCCCTTTTCCAGCACTGAGCCAAGTTCTGTCTGAGTTAGAGAATCTGGAAGGACTTCACTGTCTCCACCCAAGCGCTCTCTAACAGACAACGCAGAAGCGACTTTCTGAAGCGCACCGAAATCTTTCCACAGTCATGCCTTCCTCTCACAAGCCATGCAGTTTCTAACCCAGGGCCTGACACCTCATGAAAAAGACAAACCACAAGCCCATAGAAAAGCCAGCTGAATTTTGAGTCCTATGGCCAATGAAACTGTGAGTTCTCACAAGTTCCCCAGCGTGACACCAATGATCAGAAGACAAGGGCCAAGAAAGATCTATTAAATCTATTCCACCGACCTAATTAGAGGCAGTTCAAAACTCCGGAGTCATGTTTCGCAGAGTCTGAACATCTCCGATCTCTCTGCAGTCATTTCTACACAAAATCCAGTAGGTTTATTTGTTCAGTGCAAGATGGGCGAATGAGTGAGTCTATCTTGTGGGCAGCCTACACAAGTCTGACATCTATAGGAAATTCTTACCAGCAAAAACCCAAACAGCAGAACTTCTTGAAAACTACATCAGAACAGAAATGTGAAAATTTTAGGGGGTTTTCTTTTTTAATATTTTTTTTCCTCTCATATTTAAATTGCCACCCTTTTACAGTTTCCAAAATTTCTTGGTGCCCCGCCTAGGACAGATTCTAAATGTTAGGAACCTGAAAATCCTAAACAGTGCTATATTATGTTTCATACAGTGCAATTTACAAAAAGAACTCTTTGTTGTAGTTACCTTCATTCTTTTAAGAGATTATAAAACTATTCTCCAATTTTGAGTGTTCTATATATCAAATATTTTCAATTATCGAATCAGAAATATCCCAAGTCAGCACGGTCTCCTTATCTGTCATGATTAACATGTACAATATTTAGTCTGGCAATGGTCTAAGCAATCTCAGTGGAAAACAGTGCTGTGTCCATGTATGTGAATGCTCCAAGTTAATGATTTTTGTGCACAACTTCAAAACCAGAGAAGTGATTGACTATGTTTACTGACTGACTTTACTGATTATTCATATGCCACACACATGCTTAATTTAACACCGGAAGGGCAAGGAACAAAAAATGACAAATTAGACACGGAGATCTGTGCAGATGTTTGGTGATGGTATTCTTCAGGCCTGGACTACCAGACTCAGAGACGGTTTTTACCCCCGCACGATCAAACTGTTAAACTCCCAGCCTCTCTCTCTCACACCTCACGCCTCACGCCTTCTTTCTTACCAAAAACTCAAACACACATTGAAATCTACCTCTACCTTACATGTCAAAAAGATCACTCCCCATAATTTCTATCCTTTTATTTCATTCTGTTGATGCATGTTTTTGCACATCTGTTGTTGTTTTGCACACTGCCTGTTGTCTCTTTCTTTAATTATACAATTGCATTGTTGTTTTTTTGTACTACTTATCGTCTGAGAGCTAGCTAAATAGCATTTCGTTATACCATATACCTGTATATGAGTAAAATGACAACAAACTTGGACTTGAACTTGAACTTCTTCACAATACAGATGGGAATCTCAATAAACATGCAGCAAGCCCTCCACTATTTTAGTGCATCATTCTCTTCCATCTTAGAAGCACCTGACTGGGACAAACTACATACTCCAAGAATGTTATGACCCAAAAAGCCATTTTCTAGGAGTCTGATATTGTATATTACAAAGTATTGTAATTTGAGTTTATAAAAGTTTAACCAATTTCCTTGGAAAATAAATCTGTGTTTGTATGCCAACACAAGATGGCAAAAACATCTGTGTTGTAATAAATGTATACATTTAAAAATATTTTTTAAAAATAATTTAAATAATAAATTACTCCACGTGAGGCCAGCACATTCCTGAGTAAATAAAGGTATGATTAAAGCACTGGTATCCTCATATAAGAAAGTGCAGTTATTAAAATGTTCAAAGGAGAGGATCAGTGCTGATCATTTTAGTGCAGATGAGAAACACTGAATTTACTGTTCAGCTTTTGTCCAGTACTTTCTCTTATATACCATGTTATTCAGAGAAAATGTAATCACTTCCAAGTTTAAATGTTTGGCGTTTCATTTCCAGAGCATAACATTTCCAGCACCACGTCCAGGGAGGACTGTGCCTGAGTGTGTCCTGGGCTGCAGGGATCAACTACACGGAGGAGCAAGATGCATTTAATTATAGTTTGCAAGTGTCACATAAAAACACAACGGCAGACAAAACAAATACCCAGGCAGGCAGATAAAACCTGGCCTGAGTACAACAGTTTCTTTTTTTTAAATACCAGACTGAATTTCTTAGCAACATGTGGCTGGCAGGCAACCAAGACATGGTCCATGCTTGTCCCACTGAATTAATCCACCTTGAACACTAGAACTGTCAGGGTTTGTTATTCAACATGGGCACAGGTGTGTTCAGAGGGCTGTGGTACCACAGTGCGCAAGACATTTTTCCTTCCACTGGACCTTGTGGGCTCATCTGTCCAGTTAGAAACAAAACATCTGTAATACCAAACCACCATTCCAAAGCCCCTGCTCCCTTCT